AACTGTCGACCTACACCTGTAGTACTGAAGATGGTATTTGTATTTCAGACAAGGAATGTTGTTGGAGATAGAGGACTAGAAGTTCTTGCACGGCATTGCAAGCGGTTGAAGCGGCTGAGGATTGAAAGAGGTGCAGATGAACAAGGAATGGAGGATGAAGAGGGCTTAGTCTCTCAGAGAGGATTGATCGCTCTTGCCCAAGGCTGCCAGGAGCTGGAATACATGGCTGTATATGTCTCTGACATCAATAACCAGTCCCTACAAAGCATAGGTACCTACCTGAAAAATCTCCGCGACTTCCGCCTCGTGTTGCTGGACAGGGAAGAAAGAATTACGGATTTGCCTCTGGACAATGGGGTGCGAGCCCTCTTGAGAGGGTGCGAGCAGCTTAGAAGGTTCGCCCTCTATCTCAGACCAGGAGGACTAACCGATATGGGTCTGAGTTACATCGGGCAATACAGCCCAAAGGTGAGATGGATGCTTCTCGGTTATGTTGGGGAATCCGATGAGGGTTTGTTGCAATTCTCGATGGGATGTCCCAGCCTCCAGAAGCTAGAGATGAGAGGCTGTTGCTTCAGCGAGCATGCGATAGCTGTTGCGGTCACGAGACTGACTTCACTGAGGTACCTCTGGGTACAAGGATACAGGGCATCTGCCACAGGACGTGATCTCTTGGCCATGGCTCGTCCCTTCTGGAACATCGAGCTGATTCCCGCGAGAAGAATCCCAGAAGTGAATCAGATTGGAGAGGTTAGAGAGGTGGAGCACCCTGCTCATATACTTGCTTATTACTCACTGGCTGGTCAGCGACGAGACTTCCCATCTACCGTTATTCCCTTCGGTCCGTACCCTTGAAGAGCATTTACCAGAGCCAAGTCTGTACATAGAGCCTGTTTCCCGGTAGTTCTGTTTTATTTTGCACGGTTTTCTGTTCATAAATTGGGGTCGCAGTTTCGTTTCATATTCGCGATTGTGTTGAGAGTCTAGCTTCAGGTTCCACTTTTACAGTTTCCACGACTCTGCTCGAGTTTCGCTCTCTGCTGTATCATCCTTTGGGTCAGATATTGGTAGAGCCGTGACTGTAACGCCGTCTTAACTTCATCTCGTCCACTGAGTTCAGAGTTCTTGTTCCCCTTTGCTTTATGAATAAACTTTAGAGAAGATTTGTGGACCTTCCGGTTTATGAATAGGAGAGATTTTGAGTTTGCTGTGATATTCATTTAATCTCATTGATTCTCTCATGCATATATATATGACAAAAACTTTGGAAATTTCTCTTATTTTTTCTTCAGGGTTCTAAGCAGAAGCTCCAACAACGGCACCATCAGCCTTGATCCTGGATGATCCGTAAAGGGTCTCTTCGAAACGGATGATTTCATTCTTGGATCCATAAGCCACTTGAGTTCTGTCGTCGAGTTTGTTTATCGTCTTGTCGAGGACGGACTGGTAGCCGTCGCTGCTGTATCCACCGGCCTTCTCTATGAGCAGACCAAGCGGAGCCACCTCGAACAGCAGCCTCAGCTTCGCCTTAGCCGATGGCGATGTCACGTTTGTGAATATTCCCTTTTCCTTCACTATTATCTGCAAGACAAACAAAAGGTATGCCCTTCTTGTGTTAAGACGCGCTCTCTCGGTTTTTTGGAATCATTTTTTTGGGGATTTTCAAAACCTGGTTGACGTCGGGAACCATTCCTCCGGTGTATCTCAACGTGTACTTCTCTTTCACGTAGTAATCGATCAGCTGGATAGAGAAAGAACGTTCAGAGAGTCGTTAGAAAAGCAATGTGAGTAAGGTCTAATCCGATATTGGAGAAGAGATGGAACCTTGCTGTATTCAGGATTGTCGAATGTGGCTCTCAGGTTTCCGGGAGAGAACATCTTTCCTTCACCGATCTCCGTCGTATCCTTTACGTGTTGCCATTTTCCTGATCCCGAAAAGATGGTCGACCCATGAAGGTACGAAAGCGCTCGTAAAGAAAGAACTTTATAATGCAATGATACCTACCTTCGTCGAGGAGGAGGAATTCGTGGGTTCCGGGATAGTCCTTGAGGGCGATGATGTAAGTGGTTCGTGGACCATAGATCCCCATGGCTGCAGCCACTTGATCTCTTCCGGTTACGCCGGTTAATTTGTCTCCGGGCCACACCCCGAATATCGTTCCCACCGTGAAGTTTGTATCAACGATACTTGATCCGTCCAACGGATCAAACGCCACGCTGAATCCACCTGCCATTTCACATTTGTTTTGCTCATACCGATATCGGGTTATAACGCTCGCCGCTAAACGTTAGAGAAAGATTGTAAGCGCAAATGGACCGATCTACCTTCGACAGGACCTCCCATGTCCTGGAGCTCAGGTACTTCTTCCGAGCAAGCGTACTTGCAGACGTGCGAGTATTGCAGGGCCTAATCCACAGATCAGCTTACTCAGTAATCTGCACATTCGGGATGAAAAGTTTTTCTGGAAATTCGAACGTTTTACCTCGAAAAGAAGCTTGTCGGCGAGCACATCGACGGCGAGCTGTTCGTCGCCAAAGGTATTGACGCAAGCGGTTCCGCCACAAGAAGCCGTTCTCACTTTGAAGGAAATAGTCCTCAGTGCTTCTCCCATACACATCAGTAGTGTCCTCAGCCCTTTGTCTGGAGTCGCCTTCGCCAAGAACTCTTCCTACGAAAAAAGCATCCCATCCCCGAAAATGAAGGAAATATTGCAAAGAATATTGAATATTTTATTACGAAATATACCCAAAGGTTGAATCTTTTCTTGGGTAACTATATATTACTCACCAAGCTTTGGCCAAGTTCGCATTTGGTCACGATTGAAGTGCCATTGCTCTTCGCCTTCTTCAACGACGATCTTGGTGCCGATCTCAGTGATTCTCCGAAGAAAGAGCTCGACTTCAGACGCTGATAATACCGAATTTGGAAACCCTTTTCAGAAGTTGGAAACATGTGGCAAATCCCAAATTATAATCATCGATGAATCAAAATTCTGTGGATTCACTATGTCCAACGATTCCAGATTCTCTAAAGTCTGCAACTTTTATCTAATTCTTCCACTTCGATGAAACATACATCTGCATATGTATGTGTTTGTGTGTGTATATATATACATGTCTACGCATGTGTATGTGTACGTATAGATAGATACGAACCCTGGAGGTGGAAGAAGTGGAGAGAGAAGAAGGTGGAGAGAGCAGAGCAGAGAAACGCTGAGAAGAGAAGCTTGGGGGGAGGATCCCACGTGAGTAGCACGTGATGCTTGTCTCCATGGCTATTCCTCCTCTTCTGAAGTCTTCTTCTTCGTTTGAGAAGACGGAGATTAGTTTCTTGGGAAAAGAAAAAACAAAACAAACCGAAAGTGTGTGGAGAGGAGATAAGGCCGTTCAATCTGGGAGAGCCACGTGGCAGAATCTGAAGGGATGTGCCAAAGAGATGGAGGGAAGGGTGAGGCTTTGATTTGCCATCATTTATTCATTGTGTGGCTATGGTCTACACTCTCATATCTCATCAATACAACATTTTAAATTATATCTTATTAGTGTGTGTGTGTGTATATATATATATATATGAATATTAACGTTTTTTCAAACATTACCTTTGTAAACTTTATTTTATTAAATAAAAATTATATAATATATATGAATTAACAATAGACAATTCTTAAACATAGTGTTAATTGAAAAAACGTCATACCTTTATAATTTAAATTCTCCATTCATCATACAAAATGTTCCTCATCTCGAATAAAACAAAATTTAAATTCTGCCATAATCAACGATATTTGGAAATGCTAATGGACGACAATTTCACCTCAAATATATAAATTATTATTGATGGATCAATTATATATAAATAAGATGATCATTCGTAAAAATCATATCATACTTTTATTTGGCTATAGAGGGTTTCTAAGGAAAAAAAAAAATTGGAGAATTGGTTAATACTAATATATCAATTAACTAGATATTCGGGGTTATATTATGTTTAAATTAAGGTTGACCGGATCAGTTGTTTTTTATTTTGGATTTTTTTTCCTTCTAAAACTACATTATGATGCAAAGTTTAATCTTGTTACACCGTAAGTTGATGAGATAACACGCGTCATGCTAAAGAGAGTTAAACCCATCCGACACGTCATGAAGAAGGCCCATCGGGGTTGAGTTGGGCTTTTCGTACTGTTGGTCCAATAATTGAAATATTCACATCTCATGGGCCATGGATTGTAACCCAAAATTATAAAGAGAGGATATATATATATATATATATATATATATATATATATATATATATATCTAAACAAAAAATCACACCATGAATTCTACACACACACATATAATTGCCAGACGAAATCAATCCGTCAAAATCTATAGATAAAAAAACATAGGACTGAATGACGTTTGATTCGAGTTTTACAAAGGAGATGGAGAAGAGCTAATTAAAAAGCCTATGAAACTATGATAAAAGAACCACCGGGAGGAGGAACAAGAAAAATGCCATCTCCATTCTTATTCCCTGCCGTAAACCCTAAGGAAACTAAACCCTAAACCCAAAAAAAAACCACCAGCACATAATAATAATGATAATGTCCAATGTATGGTATCTGATTATATAATAGCATACCAAACCATAGTGGGTGGTTCTCTCTTCCATAGTTTCTCTCTTCTTCGTGTCTCCTTTTTTATTTTTTTATAAATCTCTTAAGATTGGATGGGGAGGTCCTTGTGGGTGTAAACCACTCCTTTGTCTCCATCGACCACTTGGCCCTTTCCTCTCATTATCCTGTGCATCCATCCAAATCCATCAAAACCACATACGTTTCACCTTAAACTGTGAATATATAACCCAGGGATAAGATCGTATCGTACCATCGTGTAGTCAATAATCCTTCGACTCCGACTGGACCACGAGCATGTATCCTGCTTGTGCTTATCCCCACCTGTTTTCACATTTCAATCCCAAAAACTCTTTACTCACTCTCCTACATCCTTTTTCTTCTGAATCATTTGTGCATTTCTTTCTCACGTACCTCGGCCCCAAGCCCAAATCGAAATCCATCCGAGAATCTTGTGCTCGCGTTGTGGAAAACTGCAGCACTGTATAATCACACATACACACAAATCTTGCATTTTAATGAGAGCCCACTTTCCATTAAAACTCGAAACCAGAGTAGAAGAGTTTTGAAGATCTTATAACACTGTGGCAATAATGTTACCTATCCACTTGGCGGAGGAACACCTCCGCTACTTCACCATCTTCTGTCACTATGCAATCCGTGTGTCCACTGCCACAATATACAAGAACGATAGCGGTGAGACCATGCAAAGGTCACAGAGTGAAGAAGCCCTCTCTCAACATGTGATGTCGGTCCGAATAAAAACAAATCATACCTTCCATGTCGGTGAATATGGTCTATGGCATCATACACGTCCTCCACAACTTCGACAGTGCAAGCCTTAGAAGAGTACTCGTGATGAAAAGATCTTGCTTCCGGGATGTTCAGCAAACCACTTGCCCTTGGTCCACCATACAGAGTGACGCCTGTAGTTTGATGCCCATGTTAAATATATCTGCTTTCATGGTGTGAATACTTGTACTTTCATGATTAAGAGAGCAAACGGTGACAAGATATGAAACATCCTCAATTACACCAACTTGTGTTATATTTCATAATTATTGCCCTACCACTGGTTTGCAGAAGAAAAACAAGCTCGTTGAGCACGCCATTCTCCACTAAATCTTTATGCATAAGAAGGGTTTCCTGTTAAAACATTGAAAAGAGAGAACGAGATTATATATCGGGAATGAACAAAACCAGCTACTGCGTAAGATAATGCATGCCTGAAAAAAGTAGGTCCATTACCATGGCATTACAAGCTGCTGGATAGTCAAGCTTTGCATCTGAAACAACGCGCTTTGCCATATCCACGCGGCAGGACTTGTCTACATATACATGACAGATTCCATCTGGCAAAAGCAAAATTAGTCATACTCTCTTCAGGCCAACCTAACTGAATAACAAATTGGAAAAATGCTTCACATACCAGCGTGCCCTAGAACAGGGATTTTTGTTGAGTTCTTGATCTGGGAAACAAGCTTGTTGCTGCCTCTTGGGATCACAAGATCAATAACGTCATCAAGCTGTGGCACAGATGCAAATGGTGGATTCCAGTTAACTAAAAAGCTAAATACTTTCGGCAACCCATCACTCATATATGTATTTACCTTGAGCAAATCAGGAATCTCCTCTCTTGATGTCACAAGTCCTATGAGTTTACCGCCAACACTTTCCGGGATTGCTTCAGTGATCACCTATAAATTTTTCTTGGTAACATAAGACTTAGAAACTGCTCAACTGACATTTTATGAAGAAAGCGAAGAATGATAAAAAGAGAACTACCACAGTCTAGGAAATCTAAGAACAAAGTACCTTGTGTAAGATAGCATTCGACCGCCGAGCCTCCTTTCCACCCTTCAGTAAAAGACCATTTCCACTTCGGATTGCAAGCGAAGCTATCTGTTTGAATCATGCATACAGCAGAGTGTTCATCACTCAGCATTCACACTGTAAGAAAAAAGAGAAGTACCTCTGACATACCTGTACAAGTGCATCGGGTCGTGATTCAAAAACAATCAGGAGAACACCCAAGGGGCATGAAGTCTTCTCCAAAACAAGCCCATCTGCAACCTGGAGATAAAATAAATTATCAAGAAGACAACACGAAACAGAGCGATAAAACAGAGTTTTTACAGTAAAGGAGGTATTTCTGTCCTATAATTGAAATCTAGCCTGTAAGTTGCAGATATCTGACAACTAATATCCTCAATTATACCTCAGTTTTCTTCAGAATATGGCCGATTGGATCTTCCATTTCCGCTAGCTTACGAATTGATGCTGCAAGGCTAGAGATCTGTGAAGAACAAAACAATGTAAACATACAAATGGGTTTGTCACCAAATAAGCATCATCTTTGCCCGAGGCATAGCAGTCAACAATTTTGTTAAGTACTCAATGAGTATCGTCTTGCCTTTCCAGGTTTCAGAACTAAGCGAGCCACCATTGACTCGTCATATCCAGCCTCTTGAGCTGCAGCTACATCTAAACCATTCTCAGCCGTAATTGCTCCCTCCTTTGCTTCAAGAGCATTGGCGATGTCAAATAGAATTTTCTTCCTATCTTCTGAAGATAAGGCCTGAAGCAAATTGTAAACAAGTTGAGCACAATTATTGCTAACCGAGACAAGATTTCAGGAGTTATGAACGAGAAAGAAATGAATATCAGAGAGTTTCAAATAACTGAACACTGAATATTGGAGCCTAACATTACCTGAAGCTTTCTGGAACTTTCCCTTGCAGCAACTGCCATATCCCGAGCACCAACATCAGCGACCGGGCCCCACAAATGAGCATCTTGATGGAACAAGGTACCAATTCGCTGCCCTCTGAGAACTCTACCTATGTTGTGAGCTGCATATCCACTTAAAAAAATACCAGAAATAGGTCATTTTTTTATCCACTGATAACAGTTAGTTAAATCTCGATCACTTCAAACACATCTACAGATTCAGAGGAAGAAACAGATACTAATTGCAACCACGAGAAGAAACATTTGATAAAGATCAAAGAACAGATCTTCAACAGCTTCAAACTTCATATTTACAAAATTCTTCTTTTCAGTGGTTACTAACTGTAAAAGCACAGAAAGGTACATGCTTATGCAGTGAAATCATGCCAGTTGGGAATGGCGAGAACTCTAACCTGGTTATAATGACGGGAATGCCTGCGTAAGCTGCATTAACTGCAGCTTTAACTTTTGCAGTCATACCTCCTCTTCCCACCCTGGACTTGTCACCAAATGTAATCTCCTTCTGATGTTTCTCCTTAATGTACGTGTGGATTAACTTTGAATTAGGATCACTTGGGGGGCCTGTGTAAAGACCTTCTACATCACTCAGAAGAACCAGAAGATCAGCTTTCAGCTCCAGAGCCAGTAGAGCAGCTAAGCTGTCATTATCCCAGAATATACCAGAAGAATCCTGCATAGGTTAAATGCAAAGGAATTGTACATTAGAGTATGAAGAACCAGGCAATAATTCATTCCAAATCCAAGCGTGTACTTGTATATCATTCAATTCTCAAATCTAGAGAATACCTCATAGGGGGCTCTTCGAGTACTTATTGCATCATTCTCATTGAAAATTGGAATAACCTTCAACCGGAACATAGATTGAACTGTTTCATTAAGCTGCTTCCTGAATTCCTTATCTCTAAAACTGCTATCCGTCACCAAAAGTTGAGCTGCTGTCACGTCCAACTGCCCAAAAAAACAAGGGGAGAAACTCATCAATATGTGAAGCAACAACACTATGAGTGGATAGCCCTGTGCTTCCAAAAGGAGCATCTAAGTCACCTGGTCAAACATAGTCTCGAAATAAGCCATGAGGCTGCTTTGTCCAACACCTGCACAAGCCTTCCCATCGAGCTCCTCTTGAGGTTTTTGGAGATCTGCGAAGCTGAAATCCATTGAGAAATAACTCATCAGCATGGAACCAATTTCCGGAACACAAAAGGTTTCATTCTCAGTTACTTCCATAGACAATCTGGATGGATCAGAAGAATCTGGATAGGTAAAATTTAGAGCCATTAGTAACCTGCTGTTGACTAATTGTCTGTATCGAAGCCTCTGGCGACCGAGCCCAACCGCGCCAGATGACACCAAAATGACCTCATATCCATCAGCGTTTAATCCCGCAAGCTGGCATTATATTAGGAATTTAAGCGGCTAGAACATGCAGGTGCTCGTAAAACATTTTCAATCCGTGAATAGCTTTACACAGAGCCCATTCAGCTTATCAATCCAATGTATATAAACAAAAGTACCTCTTCACAAAGTGCTCCTAATCGTCCAAGCGCCAATCTTCCACCTTTTCCAGTAACAACAGCAGTACCCACCTATAAATATTGCAAAATCATAACATTAATAACCAGAAAGAGCTCGGAGATTTTGATTTCTCCCTACATCTGTGGCGGTATATTAACGATACGAAAGCTTTAAATACAGGATGCATGTTTCAGATTAGTTTTGACGGAAACTTCACTTTTAGCAAACTCCTCGCTAGTAACACACAGGATCCCAGGGAAAAATAAACTAAAACACAACATGTTCCTTACGAATTTTCCCAGAGTTTCCGAGCCGCCAAACAGCCGCCCAAGGGAACAAACGTAAACATATGGAAAATACAGTGGTCATTCGTGGCAATCAACCAGTAACACAGATTTCAAAAAACAACCAAAAACAATGAAACCTACGATTTAAAACAAACACGATCGACCTAACAGAATCTGATGCAATCAAAATGCTAAGGTGACGAGGTCCCTTCGCACGGAAAACGAACCTTGACGACGATACGCTTAACGTCGTCGACGAAAGCGCGTGTCCGATCCATGTGCGCCATTGTTGCCTATCAAACGAGGGAACGAGTCAACTCAATCCGAGTTAGCCACCTTCACGGCGAGTAGAGAGAAGAAGATATCCAGTGAGGATGGGACGTGGAGAACGGCGAAAGTGGGGTTTTAAACGCAACAGAACCCAGGGAGGTCAGCTCCTGCTTCCAGTCAAGCAGTGCCACGTGTCGAATAAGGGCATAAGTGGAATTACCTAATCAGAACGATGACGTGCCGTGCATTCGTCTGATGGTGTAGGGTAAGGAGTTTAGGATGTGAAGCAGGGAATAGTTTCTTGAATTGTGGGCATTTTCGGGATAGGAAAAATATGCGGCGAGGAAGAGACGCAGAGCGGGACAGAAAAGACAACGAAAAGGTCGGACTTAAGTGACGTGTCCAGGAAAAAAAATCATATGCGGCGCTATGGCATGATTGATCATAGTGACTAATTAAAATATTTTAGCAATCATTCAATAAAAGTTGTGTGGAAAAATACTTTTAATTTTAAATATAATTTTAAAATACAAAATTATGTGATTAGTTTTCTACGTTAATCATGTTTTGTGATAATATTATATACGCATAATATGCATTCATCATCTACGAATGAATTCAATTCACTACCTAACGAAGATTTTAATATAAGAATTATAGGGGAAAGCCCCCGGTGAGATGGTTAATAAGTATGGCGAAAAACCATGAGATCTGTGGTTCGATCCCTACCGCCTCCTTAAATACTCACCTGTCGTCTGTCAGTTACGACTGATTTACTTCCCGCCTGTGTGTTGCAGGCTCGTGCGCATGGGTTTGGGGTTTTTCTTGGTCTGCGATGTCGTCCTGATGCTATTCTCGTCCGATCCATTGGGCTGTGAGACGTTACGGTGTCCGATGTCCGATCCAAAAGGTTGTAGGGTAGGTTCCCCAATGTATCAATATATATATATATATATATATATATATATAAGAATTAAAATACAGTTTTCTAATGAACTAAACTCATATCGAAGGTTGGAACATTGAGATGGTACATTAATCAAAAAAAAAAAAACATTGAGATGGTACATGGCATTCCTTACCACCACCGCTATCATTGAAATAAGACAGTATATCCTCAAAATCAAATCATCTATTAAAGCGTGTTATGCTATCTATTTATTTAGTGATTATGTAAAATTCTCCATATTAAATCATTTCTAATCAATTTTATAAATTTAAAATTTTATAATTTCAAGATTATTAGAGGGTTTATCAGTTTCGCCGATATAGAGATAAAAAAAGGCTTTTAGTTGTCTTGAATGATAATTAGAACTGTTCATTTTTTGGGACTTGATAATCACAAGTTTAAGTTGACCAAATTTATTACGCATATGGACGTTTCAGATAATGATTTTTTAGATACAAAAACAGACATCGCTTGCTTCAAAAAAATTCATTATATTAATCTGCCGAAAAAATACTATAATATATAACATTAATAAAATCATATCACGTAAAAGATGTAGTAAGTTCATTTGTTAAATGGGTGTTACAAGTATTTTTTTTAATGCAAAAAAAACATATATTAATTCATGACACTAATAAAGTTATATTACGTAAAACATATAAGCAGATCATTGGTAGGTCGTTGCACCTGTTTTCGTAATACCGTTTATTCAAAGAACTACAAACGCTTGTTGAATATATATATTTCTTTAACATACATGATAATATTCTATACTCTTCCCCGTATATTTGTTTCTATTAGAAATGGGCCATATATATTTTTTTAAAATTAGTGGCCAAACAACGACACACATGTTTTAATGTTTACATTATGGTCGTCAAATTTAACCGTCAATATGTCGAATGAGACTATATGATCTGGTATGCCTCGAGATAATAAAAATGGTCTGGTCGATATAAGTTATATATGGTGTTTGGTTTTTAAAATAAAATAAAAAAGTGAATTTAATAAAAAAAATAAGTAAAGAGACATAAATGCACGTGGTTTGATGCGATTTCAGATGTCTGAATCTGATTGCTTATGGGAACTCGTCAGTATTACGTGCATGTTCTCCTCCTTGGCATTCGTTTCCACTAACCCTCTAATCTTTTTTTTTTTACTTTTCTTTTATTCAATTCATTCAATGACAAAAATATTTAAAATAAAATATAAAACATTATTTAACAATAAATCCAAAATAAAAATGTAATTTAAAATATCGTAATTTTTAAATTATAACAAATACTAGTTTACTAAATAAAATTATATATATTTTTAGTAAAAAGCATGAATTAACTAATAAATACAATAGTTTTTGGATGTTTGTATTAAAATGGAGATTTATTTTAAGATGTCGATCGTTTATGTTATACATAATATCCATTAAATTGAAAGTTTCGTCTGTTGTTTTCCTTTCGAGTAATTAATTTTTATGGTTTACAAATAATCGAATATGCGATTTTATGGATAAGAACGGGACTTAACCGTATTAGTGCGAGCTATTTTTCGTAACATTTTGGGGGGTAAAACTCCTAACATTTTTTTACCTTTTTTTTTTTGTTTAGATTTTTTAGCATGAACGAATCGGAACAAAATGGTAACCAATTAAAATAAAATCTTCAGAAAATCAAAGAAATATATGATTTAATAAGGTAATATCGTAAAGTTTTACGGAATATGAGTTTATTGAATTGAAAGGTTTCAGTATATTTAGTCAAAATTAACATTCAAATGTATAGAATACAATATTTTAGAGCTATAAATTAGAACAAATTTAGACACAATCTTTTTAATAAACTCAGTCAATCGATAGAAAATTCTTTCGTTAAATTTAAATAACCGTCGCTAATTTTTGTTATCACTGTCTGGAGAAATTTATCAACATTAATGCTTATATTTTTTGGTCAGTCACAACTATATCATAGAAACCATAAAAACTGGAACTGACAATTATATCTTAAATTCTTGACCACACAGTGAAGGTAAACATTTATTAAATTGATTATGGCACTAATATAGAATAAAAATGTAAGTATCTATGAAAAAAAATCTGAGAGACATTATTACAAATTATGACATATATTTCCAATTAGGATAGACACGGGATTTTTCCTATTTTGTTTGATTATTTTCGTATTTAAATATTTATATATAGTTTTATATAATATGTATTTTGTAAAATATTTACCAACAGATCATTTATTTTAAATATAAAATAGATTCTCCTCCATTTAAGTTTCAAATGGTTTTACATCTAAAAATATCACGTTCAAGTCTCCAAAGCATATTCTTCGGGGTGGGAATATATTAAAAAAGCTCTGATATAAAGGTTTTTTATTTTTTTTGTTAAAAGGTTATAAAAGTTTGTTAGATCGTCGTACATCATCATCATCATCATTCATATTATTATTATTATTATTTTGGTAATTATTATTGTTATTATTATTATTGTTGTTATTGTTACTGTTATTATTATATCGTTACATATAGAACATTATTATACCATAATGTGAACTTTATCATTGAGTGAGCTTCGGCGGGAGATCCTCCGGTGAACTAACGAAGTTATGACATTATATTATACAGACCTACCCACATAGAAAGGAATCCGGAGGGGACTAGAAAGCTAATTTATATAATATGCAGGAAACAAATAATTAGTAAGATCATTAGGCATGCACTTGCATCTTGTATAAAGGTTGATTAAAATCCAATTATTTTAATTTGTAAACAATAAATCAGATGACTATTTTACATATGATTTTATTTTGTCGTTTTAGTCTATTTATCAATTTTTAACACATGTATAAATAAAAATCATAAGGCATTACCAAAAAATAAATCGTAAGATATATACTTAATTCGGACGATTATGACATGATTTGATCCATAGGTGTTAGAGTTTGATATATACTTAATTTATACAAGTACCTTTGATCTGTAATTAAGTGATTATAAAACGACTTATTTAAAATTTGCAATATATATATATATATATATACACACACACATACATACGAAAACTTTTGAAAACCATCGAAAGCATTTTCACCATTTTCCACGAATCAATTATTGGAGCCAATCGAGCGATTTCCGAATATTAGAAAATATATTATTTACCGGTGGATATAATAATAAGATGGAGTGCACATATTGCAATTGCTCACATTTTTTCGCCCGACATCATAGAGTATGTATTGATGGATGTACACTTACATTCTTTCAATTGGATCGTCTTCATCGATTATTTAAGATATGTCCAATCAAATGAGGTCACGAGCATCCGGCTGATTTTTCTAAAAGTCGGGATGCTGTTGTCGTCACGTTCATGAACCATATTCACATTTTTTTATTAATTGTTTCTTTGACCTAAATTAATCTCCTTTTTTTCCATGGTGATAGTGAAGGTTTTCAAATCTCTGTATATAATATTAGAATTTAATATATTTTTTTGTATGAAAATATTAGAATTTAATATTAGGGACGTAAAAAAAGCTTCCGAGGAGTAAAGACCGTGAATGCATGTGCAGGGAAGAATCTCTCTCTCTCTCTCTCTCTCTCTCTCTCTCTCTCTCTCTCTCTCTCTCTCTCTCGTATGCCAAATCAGGCAACCGGACAAAAAGGTGCAATCTTTGTCACCATGGAGTTTTTTTTTTATGTGGTGATTTGAAATTTTGAAGCCGATAAACGGGCAAAAAAAATTTGGGAGTCGCATATGATATGATTTAATAAATTGTTTATTTTTTTAATATTGATAACAACGTTATCTGTTACAATAATTGACAGATCCAAGGAGATCCAAGGACAACGACAATTAAACTACAGAGAAACTAATCTCATGATATATATATATATAATATAATTCGTATTAAACTATATAAATTCGTGTTTACGTACTATAATAGCATTCTCTTTTTTTTTTCCATCTTTTATCGCGGATTCATTTCTTGCCCGTGCTAGACTCTTCTCCATTCATATAATGTGACGTTAGGATGTTTAGTTCTGCTTTTACATGGTCGGTAAGGGCTTTCTCTTTGTACCGTCGGATAATGTCAGGAAACAAACCACTTAAATCTCGACAAGTCTTACCAAAATATGGAATTTTCTCCCGTAAAAGGACAAAAACAGTAACCATGCAGGCATTGCGTGGTCTATATTTTTTTTAATTGATTCGGGTTGGTACAATTTTAGTTTTTATTAAGAAAAATATTTATTTTCTTAATTTATTGATTTTCAAATTGGTTTCGATCTGATTTCAAGATATTTAATTTTCTAAACACAATCATTCACAGATTTTGGATTATTTGATTCCGTATCGAATTTTCAATTTTTCGATCCGATTCGATCAGAGAAACCGAGTCACTATTTTTTCATCCCGTCATCGTGGAAGTAAACGTAAAAGATAAAGAGAGAGGAGAGGGATCCACGCGCGTTTTTAGAGAGTGGATACACGCGCCTCAGATAAATTAAAGAAATGGGCCCAATGATGATGTTAATTTGGGCCTACAACTGCTGACCCGACCCTACCTGGCGAGGCCTGTCCTCGAGAAGCCCTCCTGGTTTCCTCGTTCCACCATCCCGCCTGAAAAGGCTTCAATTAAGCCCTAGACTGTAACCGGAGACTCTTCGTTGTTCGTTCCTACTAATCACGCTCGCCGGAGAAAATGGATTGGAGGGAAATCGACGGCGTCTTTCCTCCTCAGCCAAACTACAGTAGCAAAGCCTTCCAGGTCCGTCTTAGATGCTTTTAGTGCGTGTCTAGCGATGTCAGGGTGTTTGGTTTTGCCGCTTTCGTTGTTGTCTGAAGTCGTTGGTTTGGTTGTCGTGGTCTCTTTCATCCTAGGTTTTGTATTTCTCGTTAAACTTGGATTTTTTGGTTGTCGTTGTTACCACTTCTGATTCCTTGTCTGATTATCTGCGAGCTTTACATAGAAAATGTTTCAGTAATAGCATTTGCGATAGCGATGAAACGTATGAAATCACTGTAACTGGAGAGTAAGCGACCACTTCCGGTAAGGTACCATCCCTGAAGCATAGAATATATTTGAAGAAGATCAAATGACACTGAGAAACTGAGACATGTTGAATGCCACCAACTTGCTATTGATTCTCATTGTCCTGATCATATTCCTTGTAAAAAAAATTCAAGTTGATGGCAATCAAGTTGGTTAGCTAATTACGTAGTATGGATGCACAACTTAAAACATCTAGTGATGAGTCTTATGACCGTCAAACTGAGTTGTCAGAATTAGTTTTTCCTCTTGCATGACATGTTGCTTCATATTTATGGCAGCTCTTACGGTTTTGCTTTGGGCTGGTGGTGATGGTGGATCAGCGATGGCTTCAACTTGGGGAAGTTGTCGCAGCTGTTTGTGCTGAAATGTTGTCAACGATATGCCTGATGATCCAGACAGCTGGAGTTGGACAGAATGGATGGAGGTACTGTCACTGACACTGAGTTAGTCCTGCTGCCTTTGTAGCCAGAGGAACTTGGTTGATCGAATCATTGAGCTACCATGGAACCCGGATGTGGAAAAGTATCTTCATGGATGCGTATTAGATTGTGCAACTGATGATCCTTCACCAGCTGCAGGAAGTCTGTTGGTCGAACTTTCATCTTCAGGTGAGTATTCCATCCTGATGCTCAACTCAAGTATCTCCCCTCCCCTTAGAAAGTAAAATATGAGAACTAGTTTGTCTAAAAGCGTCTCCTTGTATTGGTTGGGATCTTCAATTTTGTGGCTACACAGATCTTTTGGCCTTTGACTGGGAGTTCCTGGTGTTGGTTATTGCTGCAGTGTTTTCGTCGCTCTTAGAAAATGGAGGAGGCTTTTGTACTTTTAAGTAGAGTCACTGAAGAAGTTATGTCAAGATCAAGAATGAGATTCCGGATTCACCGGAGAGAAGAGTGAGTTGTAAGTATTCCAATACACTGACTAAATATTCTCTGTCTTGTTTTGTTGTATTTCCCTGGACACTGTGATCTCATAAAAGTGGAAACAGGAAGCTCAGGATAACGGATTTTCTGTTTAGAAATAAAATATTTTAAAAAATGCTTCTTCTCTGTTGGTGACTTGAAACAGGGCAAAGCCAATGAGGTTTACTCCCTGTAGATTCAACAACAGCAAGTTAGATCTGGACAAGTTCCAGAGATAGAAAAGTTGCATATGAAACCCTGATGGGTCTGATGCTCCACTGACTGATATTTAGTGCAGGAAAAGGACAGAAGAGTAAAAGACAGATAGCTTCACAGACAATGGTGCCAGAGAGAGAGAGAGCAGTAGCAGTGTTGCTGTAAGGAAGGAGATGGAACAGTGGCTAAAAAAACATTTCATGTTAAAGAAATGGTTTTTGAGATTGAGCATTAAAAAATAATGGTTCTTAGGGTTACGTCTATATATTGCTGATAAAATTATGTTCGAGGTACATTTGGGTTATGGTTTCATATTAAATATATCAGCATATGTTAATTGTTGTTATGATATGTCGTAAAACTAAATAATACCTACAGGAAAAAAAACATATATAAATTAAGATTGAGCATTTAAAAGTGTTCAAGTTCAAGACAAAAAAAAGAGGCAACTTCCCTTGCAAATTGGATTTTCTTAAATTGTAGAAATGTCATATTTATCCCCTCATTTTTTATTATTTCTTCTCCTCCCATACCGAAGCCCAAATAACTCACTTGGCTCGCAGCTATTTCACCGTAAACCACCGAAAAAAAAAATATTTTTTTTCAATTTTAATTCACTTTTCGGTTGAAAAAGTTCGAAATACCCTTTTCGTTTTATTTTTTGCGATTTTATTACGACTAACATATGACAGATGATTTTTTTGCCATCTTTTTTAGAATCAATTGTAACTATATTTAGAATTAATTATGAAGTCGTAATAACGAAGTTGTTTTCGAACGGATAAATATTTATCCGTATATTCATTAAGAGTAATTTCGACTTTTCAAAGAAAAAAAAATGTGTTATGTTTTTGGTGGTGTACACGATGCGAGCAAATGGGTCATTTAAGTCATTTTCCCAAACCGAAGAGAAGTCATATTTATCATTCTCTTCATCCGCTCTCATCTTTCTTCTCTCTTGTTCTGTTGTCGCCCAGCCGCCGCCGCCTTCTGGTAAGCCTCTCTTCTCATCTCTCTCTCGCTCCGCCGCTGTTCTGGTAAGCGTCTCTTCCTCATCTCTCTCTTTGGGAAATTAGGGTTTCACCATAATACGGTTCGGCGGCCATTTTCTCCTCCTCTAGGTTTCTTGGTTTCAATCTTGAAGTTTGGCTCTTTCTCTCTGTGCTGCTTTGGTTACAGATTAATCTGTGTAGGGTTGTGAATTTCAAAAGAGACGATATCTTGGTTCATGGTGCTGGTTTCAATCTCCGCCTCTACCGTTTTCGATCGTCTTCTAATGACTTCGATGTGTCTTATATGCAGGCCTTTGTTATTGCCTTTCTGGGTTTGTTTTAATCATGGCGACTCGTAAGTTCCCAACGGAATTTGTTTATACTGTGTCGCCTTCCTTCTTGGGTGTTCTGTTTTTGTGTTCAGACAAATGGGTTTGATCATGTTGCAGGTCTCCAGTTTGAAAACAACTGTGAAATTGGTGTCTTTTCCAAACTCACCAATGCTTATTGCTTGGTCGCAATAGGAGGCTCCGAAAACTTCTACAGGTATGTATGTATGTTCTCTTGTAATTGTCGTAGTTTCAGCTTTGATTTTGTATCTCACTCATCTTAAATGATTTGTGTTTTCTTCTCTTTGATTGTAGTGCTTTTGAGACGGAACTGGCAGATGTTATCCCTGTTGTTAAGACATCAATTGGTGGAACACGAATTATTGGGCGTCTTTGCGCTGGTGCACTTCCATGATACCTTATGTCTGTCTTATAATGTTCTGAAAACGATCCATTTGATTAATGGAATTGCTCGTGTTCTCTTTGTACTTTTGTAGGAAATAAAAAGGGGCTTCTCGTCCCGCATACCACTACCGACCAAGGTAATATATGTAATTCTTGTTGAGTAGCTTTGATGCAGCTTCGTATTTAGTGGAGCTTATGTTTATTGAACTTTTTGAAAATTAGCTCGCATGTTGCTTCTGATTCATCATGCTTTCTGTGCAAATTATGATCATTTTACGTTTGTTAATGTGGATGAAGATGGCTTATCTGTTTTTTTCTTCTCCTTTTCAATTCTCCTTCTGTATTATCTGTTGCATCTGCCGATGATTTGCCTTTTCTTTTAACGATATAGAGCTTCAGCACCTGAGGAACAGTCTGCCTGATCAAGTTGTTGTTCAGCGAATTGAGGAACGACTATCTGCTCTTGGAAATTGCATTGCCTGCAATGATCATGTCGCACTTGCGCACACTGATCTTGACAGGGTAAATTTTTTATATATAAATCTCTAATGTCTTCATTCAAATATTCTCTGTCTTGTTTTGTTGTATTACCATTTGCTACTTGTCAAGAAACGGTGGAAGACTAAACGGATTGTTGTACAAAAGTTCTTCAGGGAAAATACCATGAATGTTTTACCGCCTTATCTTTGACTGAGAATCATCATAAGCTACTTGTGGTGTTGTGCAAATCTGGATGAATGGTGCATTGATTTTCCCGCTGGCAGGAAACTGAAGAGATAATAGCTGATGTTCTTGGAGTAGAAGTTTTCCGGCAGACAATCGCGGGCAACATTCTTGTTGGCAGCTACTGTGTCTTCTCCAATAGAGGTGGACTGGTAAGAAAACTGATTTTAATACCTGCTCCAGAGCATCAAAACCAACGAAAATACACCCTTTTCGGATCTCGGATTCTAGAATCTGACAACAATTTTGTGGAACAGGTTCATCCTCACACCTCAGTGGAAGACCTGGATGAACTCTCTACCCTTCTTCAGGTCCCTCTGGTTGCAGGGACTGTGAACCGTGGCAGCGAAGTGATAGCAGCGGGTATGACGGTGAATGACTGGACCGCCTTTTGCGGGTCAGACACAACGGCCACTGAACTCTCTGTCATTGACAGTATCTTCAAGCTGAGGGAGGCTCAGCCCAGCTCTATCGTCGACGAGATGAGGAAATCTTTGATCGACACTTATGTCTGAGTTTTGCTTTTCGTTCGGACACTCCCTGGTCTTGAGGATTCATGGTTATTACATATACCCAAGTGCCAATGTTTGAAAAGCCGCCATTTTTCGTAAGTTCTGTATTGTCTTGAGTAACCTCTCTGCTTCTGTTGCAAGAATTGGCTCTTTTGTGTGGTTTTGCTGAATATTTTCCTAGATGCCCAGAATCTGATCTATGGGAGTGATGATTATTTTCGATCAAGAAAAAGTCTGCACCTTTATTGTTTTATCTGGGTCCACGTGTGAATTTTCTGGTTCATGTGTTTCTCAGAGTACAAAAAAAAAAAACAGAAAAAAAAACAAGGAGATAAGGTGCTAGAACCTAGATATGGTTAACGGTTTTGTTCGGTACGTCTTCGAATTTTGTCATATCCCGCATATATATATGAGCATATGGGTGTGTATGTATATAAAGGCTCACCCTTTTTGCGCTCAGACAGTTTTTGAGAAGGAACTGAAGTTGGTCCTTTCATTTCCAATCCCAAATCCATTCCTCATCTCTTTCTTCCGAGACGCAGCACACACAGACATACATACACAAACACACAGTTACACACGTATATCATCTACGAGACCTTTCCCCTTCTGAATTTGTCTTCTGTCCCATGGAGGGTCATGGTAATTTTCCTTGTTTCTCTTTCGTATTCGCCTGTTTTCTTCCTTAATCTGTGGTTTCTTATTGTTGCGCTAACATGTTTTCTTTTTCTGTTTGTTTCCGGGGAAAATATCAGGCGAGGAGGGATTGTCTTCTGCTCGTTGTTACCAAGACGCATTGGATGCATTGTCGTCCCTAATCTCAAAACGCAGCCGCGCTGACAAGAACAACCAATTTGACCGGTTCGATTTCCTCTGCAATTATCTCAAGGTTCGATTCACAACTTCTTGATCGATCCAAACACCAAAGTCTTGAACTTTCTGTTCTGTTTCATCGACCCGGAATCTTCCTATCTGTTTAAATACGAATCTGTAGATATTAGAGCTTGAAGACGCAATCTCAGAGATGAAAATCATCCATGTTGCTGGGACTAAAGGAAAGGTACTAACTAATGGCTCATCTCCTCTCTGTTCTTTCCAGTGAAAGATCCATCATAATAATAATATGACGTTTTCTCTCTGTTTATGGGACTGAAGGGTTCTACCTGCATCTTCACAGAATCTATTCTTCGAAACTGCGGTTATCAAACGGGGCTATTCACTTCTCCTCACCTCATTGATGTTCGAGAAAGATTCCGTCTTAACGGGTAAACTTCTGAAAACATACATCGGTTTACCGGGTTTTTTTTTCGCCAAGAAAGAAAGCTTAGAGCTTTTAGTTTGTTCTTGTTTCAGAACCGAGATAAGCCAGGAGAAATTTCTTGACTACTTCTGGTGGTGCTACCTTAAAATCAAGGTGTGTTTTTTTTTCTCCTGATATATCCCTCTTGTTTTCATGCTATTACTGATATACCGAATTGTTTGAGTTGCAGGAGAAAACTGGCGACGAGATTCCGATGCCTTCTTATTTCCATTTTATGGCATTACTCGCTTTCAAGATTTTCTCGGCGGAAGAGGTTTGAACATTTTTCATCATGAACAATCAACAATGTCTGGTTCTCCTCACCAGTTTCTCCAAACATAACTTGTTTAGCTTGTCCTATGTCGTTACGGTTCCATGCAGGTAGATGTTGTGATACTTGAGGTCGGGTTAGGCGGGAGATTTGACGCGACTAACATTGTACGATAGCTCTATCCGTATAACTGGTTACGATTATGTATACCCGTTTGGTTTTCGAGATTAATCTCTAACAAAAACAACATGAATGGATCATGTTAATAGGTCCGGAAACCTGTTGTATGTGGTGTTACTTCTCTTGGGTATGATCACATGGAGATTCTTGGTTAGTCTTTATCCCTTCTTCTGTTCTAGAAAGCCCTTGGTCACAACTTGCCGTTTCATGCGAAAAACATAAGTATTATGTTTGAAAAGTTTGTCTCTTTATCACCCTGCCATGACAGGAAACTCGCTCGCTGAAATCGCTGCAGAGAAAGCTGGCATTTTTAAGGTGACCTGCAACTTCTTGAACTTTTTGCATATAAAAGTTTTCGTATAATTCAAGATTTTTAGGTTCAGTTTCTTCCTTTGCAGCCCGGAGTTCCAGCCTTTACAGTGTCTCAACCCGATGAAGCCATGCGTGCGCTCGAAGAGAAAGCTTCGGAATTGAATGTAAGGCCTCGCACATTTGAATACATACCGATAAACCGGATCCAGATACATATATACAGATAGATGCTGAACTGAAATTTCAGGAATAACAGGTACATCTTCAAGTTGTAAAACCGTTGGATACGAGCTTATTGAATGGCCAGACGCTAGGGCTTGAAGGGGAACACCAATATATAAATGCCGGTCTTGCTGTTTCACTATGCTCAACATGGCTTACGAAAACTGGTAATGATCTCGTCTGGGAGAAGATTCGCTTAAATCAGACGGTGAGTTCACGCAAAATTAGCTTCACTCATAGGGGTATGTTTCTGTTTCTTGATCACAACCATGTTCTTGGAGACAGGATTCACTGCCCGAACAGTTCATCTCCGGGTTGAAGACAGCTTGTTTCAGTGGTCGGGCTCAGATCGTGCGTGATGCAGAAAACCCAGAAAACGTGGTGTTTTTCTTGGATGGAGCTCATAGTCCTGAAAGCATGGAGGCTTGTGCTACGTGGTTTTCTCGTGCTGTGGAGAAAGAGACCTCGAAACATCGTAACAATGGTGGTTCTTCAGTATCCTCCATTGTCAGACAGAACCAAGAGATGACACTGCAACGGTCTGAACAGGTGAGAAGAGTAGGAATGTATCTGAAACCTATGTTTTCAGTATCGTAACCCTGTATATGTTTTGTTCAGATACTGTTGTTCAACTGTATGTCTGTACGCGATCCGGAGCTGCTTCTTCCACGGCTAAGAAGCACGTGCACTAATCACGGTGAGTCCAGAAGTTTGCTTGGTTAACAATTAACACGAGATTTCATGAACAAGTTTCTTGATTTCAATGCAGGAATTCATTTCAGCAAAGCTTTGTTCGTGCCAAACATGTCAGTGTACAACCAGGTCGGACCATCTCCAAACGATACACATCCCGATTTAACATGGCAGTTCACTCTTCAGAGAGTCTGGGAAAGCCTGGCTCGAGGTAAAAACAAATCCCCGAAAACCCGATAATCTTTCGCTGATTTCCCGTCAAGAAACTCGTAACACGAGGCACTTCGGATCAGGAGATTCCAAAGGCAGAGACTGCGTTTTGAAAGAACGTAAGGACGAGACGGGGACAAGATTCAGAAACCGCGGAAACAGCACCGTCTTCTCATCGATCCCGTCGGCTGTCAAATGGATCCGGGACAGAGCTCAACGGAGCAGAACTGTTCAATTTCAGGTTAAAGATTTTGCTGTTCCGAGTTTTAAGTGTTCAGACAAATGCCCATTACAGGATCTTGTTTGATGTTTCTCGTACTCTGATTTTGTGTTTTGATGAGGTTTCAGGTTCTGGTGACGGGTTCACTGCACTTGGTGGGCGATCTCTTGAGAATGATCAAGAAATAAAAGTTGGATTTCATTACATTTTTTTTTCTTCTTCCACCAAGGTAGGATCTTCCACTTCAAACCACCCATTAATGTTTTTTTAAATCCATTTCTTCCATTAATTGGATCATTAAATCTCAACACAATTAACGGTAAACGAGCACCCCAAACCCCAAACCCTCCTAATTAAAATTCCAAGAGGAGAAAGAAGCTGGTTGGAGCTTCTGGTTCAGAGTTAAAAGAATGCATAGTACAACACAAATGATACAAGCACGACAGATCCGTACATGCATGGAAGCCTCTGTCACAAAGGGAAGGTTCCGGTAAGACGGATATGGTCTAGGGTTCGACGCAAACCGTACTTAGATACAGCAGAGTTGGCGGCTCTGAAACCTCCTCCGTAGGCAGGAGAGACGTCATGAACTATCTGATACTTAAAGAACTCCCCCAGTTTCTTCTCCATGTTGGATTTCCCCCCAGCTTTCTTGCACGAAGATGAAAATGAAGATGATGACGTGGAAGGCAAGTTCCTTGAAGAAGGGTCCGAGATAACTTCGGACTCAAGCCACATGTAGGAAAGCACTTGGCAGATACCTTCCTCTACCTCGGGATTAAGGTTTCTATAACCTGGTTTGGAAGAAATCATGGTATAATTAGGGTTACTTTCCCGTCAAGCAAAGGATCTAGCTAGGGTTTCGAGCAAGTATACCTTTCAGACGTAGCCAGCCATGCATCAGTTCATGAGCCAGTATAGCTCCCGTTAGTAACCTTTATCCACCAAAAGATTTTTTTAAGTACAAAGAGTAATTAGTTCATCAAACTCATTGTTTTGAGGCTATATTCTATACATATATATATATATATATCACTATCCCATATCTCCATGCAATCTCTATATATAATCTTTATCTCTCTCTATAATTTCTCTTTCCTTATTTTAAAATCTTTTGTGTGTGTGTGTGTGTATTTAAGTACTTGTATATTCTCTCTGTCTAAGATTAATTTTCGATAATAATTTTATACAACTTAATTTCTTGAATAAATCTATTAGACGCTATTATACCTTGGGAGGCCGTAAAGAACAAGAATTGCGGTGACTTCACACTTGCGTGTGAGCTTCTGAGGCTGTGTCCTCATTCCAACAAGACGGTGGCCTCCAAGCCTCGGCCTTCTAAGAACCTATGAACCGAAACCGATCGAGCAACATAATTAGTACGATAAAAAAAACTCAAAGCATGCAAAGCATGTACATGTGCGTGGTCGATTCACTTACACTGCTGACTGTCTGCTCTTCAGAAAGGCATAAACCTCGAGTCTCGGGCATATGATGGTATCCCTGTGAAAAACAAGAAACTCTCACTCCGTATATATACGGATGATCACACCTCCTCGAAACTGGTATTAAACAGAGATATACTCACATTCTTCTCGCCGACTATAGCTTCATTGAGGGCTTCTCTTTGAACAAGAAGCATAGGGATCTGCTGATCAAGCTTCATGTTCATTCCTTCGTAATAGTCTCTAATGGCGTGGTAGAGTGGTTGGCAATCCCCAGTGTCCATTATCGCAGTCTCCATGCACTCCAGACACAAACTCCTCCCATCTTCTAAGGTGTAGTATTTCACTTCACGTGACTTCCAAAACCATAGAGAAACACATATTCCTTTTTAACCATAACAAAGTTTGAAAATTTTCATGTGGGTATATATATAATACTTGTTATACCTCCAAACGTTCACAGCTGCAGCATCGGGCCGTGTTATCGTATTCATGAGAAGGGCAATACTTTTGGTTCCAAAAGGGGTGACACCGATACTCTATCAATCCAGCATCATTGGTCGGAATCTGAAAATACAACGAGAAGTTAATATATACACACACACACACGTACGCTGAAATCACGATTAGGAAGATCCAAGTTCATGATCCAGAAGTGGGAGTGAAAGCTTACAAATTGGTGGCAGACTTCACATTTGGGGTGCGTCATCTCTTTCAGACAGAGCTTGTGATAGGGTTTCTTCCCTGACAGAGAGAACTTGGATCGAAAGAGGGAAAAAAAAAACAGAACCTCAGTCATACATACAATAACACAACTCAAGAATTATATATGATATGTGTGTGTGTGTGTAAAAGCACCTCATGCTCGGTGATGGGGTAACCACAAGAATGGCAACGAAAACATTCTGGATGAAAGAATGTTCCCATGCAACCCAGATAGTTTCCATGGCCGATATCGCCATGACATCCTCCGCATATTCTGCTCATACAAATTGCTTAGTCCTCCCAACAATTCATGGAAAGAAACCAATCAAGAATATACATATATATATATGTGTGTGTATATATATTCGTAACTGTTTACCTATGTCTTTGTCTATATTGATGTGAAGATTCATAAGGTGGAACGAACGAAGGATTCAAGCCCCCACGAAATGGTCTTGGGAAATCTTGGTCGTGACCATATCCTATGATTAGGTGGAAAAAAAAACTATGAAGATGTTAGTTAGCGAATGTGAATTGAATATTGTTGGATTTAAAAGAAAAATAAATATAGAATGAAAATTTATATAAAAAAAAAAGTAAGACCATGTGGTCGCTTCATTATGTCATCTTCTAGAGAAAGAGGAAATGAGCGGTCGAGTTCTTCTTTGTCTCGCGCAGCTCTGGACCGACCATCCTGATTGATTGAACATCCAAACGTTGGAGACTGAATCATCGTTTCCAATTCATTTATTAATTTAAAACTGTAAAATACAGACTATTTTTTTTTTTTAAAAAAAAAAGCATTTTGATTTTGATTTTGATTGTATTTTATTATTTTCCCCTATGCAACAAATCGATTTTATGACTAAAAACACGTTAAGTAACGAAACAAGCAACACATTTTTTTTCTTTGCAAGTGTTTTTTTGGTGATACAAGAAGAAACATACAATTTTTTATTATTTTTCTTCAATTTTTATTATAATATGATAAGTTTTAGTTTGGTTAGAAAACGAGAGAATCATAAAATTGGTAAAGGGATATATAGTAAAATGTACAATTATTCTCGAAACTAATATCTAAGGGACAGATATTCTGATGTAAAGGAATGGGTTTTTTTTTTTTATTATTTCCAACAGAAGAAAAAAAAATATCTAAGCCATATCATCAACATTCTATTCTTGAAGTAATAAATGTTCTTTAAAATTAATGAAATTACCAAAGACCGAGGAGGGAGACGAAAGACCATGTTCTCGTCCTCCTGAAACTGGGGGAGATGGTTGTCGGACTCTCTGGCTCTTACTCCTCCTCCATGGCATGATGATGATGATGAGCCACTGCCCTTGAATATCTTACTTAGCCATTTCATCAACCTCCATTTCTTCTCTCTGTATATAGATGATGACGACGACGACCCAACATCCCCTGCTTTTTCATCATCCATATTATATACATGTATGTATGTATCTCCTTGATTATTCACATAGAATTCCTCGCAATATCCAAAGCTACATATAATTACATATATAGGTTCATCATCCATTACTTATACTGCTGACGTTAAACTACGGTTTCACCAAGAAACCTTTGTTTTATAGATTTGGACACAAACATATAAACCCTAATTAAAAACAATACATAGATAACTTGTTTTGCAAGTAACCATGGGTCACATAAACTCGAGTCATGCATGGAAGGATGAATCAGGACAAGAATATGAAAGTATACGCACCGAAGATACAAGGGTTGGAGATATGGTTGATACGATCGCCATTGCCGGAAGAAGAAGAATCCATGAAAATCAACAAGACCCGCTCTTATATATCCCGCAAGACGAAAACGACGGCCAGAGAGAGAGAAAGAGAGAAGAGCAAAAGTCGTAAAATTCTTCGCGAAAGAGAGAGAGAGAGAGAGAGAGAGAGAGAGAGAGAGAGAGAGAGAGAAGGAGAAGGAAGAGAAGAAGCTATAGGCATCGTTTAAAAAGAACATAAATTGAAGAAGTAGGCATCGAGAAGAAGAGAAGGAATCTCGCAGAAGCGATCAAGAAAAAGTCACAGAAGAGAGAGAGAGAGAGAGAGAGAGAGAGAGAGAGAGAGAGATGCTTAGCTTGAGAAAGGAAAGAAACAGATGAAACAGCTGTTTGCAGACGACGAAACCCAGAAACAAAAAAAAAAGGAAGAAAATAAAAGAAAACAAAGGAGAGAATATTTGCTGAGACGGAGAATCCTTCAAGGAACGGTGTGGGGAGGAGAGGGAATATATCACTTAGCGTTTAAAGCTCTCATTTTTTTTAATTACATTATTTAAAATGGATTTATTAACAATAATACCATTTCATTAAAATAAAATTCCTGCAGAAAAGTTGAAAGTTGGAAAAAAAAAATCTTTTTTTTGTTGTCCCCGTAAATTACGAGAGTGCCATTTCTTGATCTTGTTTTTCCATTCATATCAATTTGGTTTTATTTATGATTTTTGTTAGGTATATAAAGTGGATTTGTGTCGTGCATGTGAACGTTGGATTCTTCGCCATACAAATATTAATATGTTAATGTACTATCGACGTGTGTGGATTCGTTAGATTATATCAAATTAATATTTCTTAATATATATATATATATATATAGATTCGTGTTTTACGGAATTTAATCTCCTAATTTTTACATTGGATCTTTACATTATATGTTTTGAAACGTTTGTTAGTGTTAATATTTCCATCATAAAATTACGTCATTCGGCCACCAAAACAAAACTATATCATTCCTTATTTATACGTTTGTTTAAAATAACGTTCCATAAAAATAAATGAAAAAAAGACACGAGACGAGTTGTTGAAAACCGTAAAAATGTAGACATTCAAATATAATAATTTTAAAATATGTAATTACTTTTAAAAAAATTTGTTTTGATTCTATCGGATATATAGGGTAGGGTAAAGGGAATATAATTTTGCATAGGTCAAAATATAACTCGTTTTTCATATAAAATAAAAGAAATGTGATACAAAATTATATAAAAGAAAGAATTACTAATAATTAGTAATGCATATGTATATGCCTCGCGGCATTTTTTTTTTAAATTTAGAAAGTAGACAATTTTTTTTTGTTAACAAGAGCAACGCAAAAAGCTTTGTGAAAACAAAGTTTTAATCTTTAGTGCGTGTAACCATCGGTTAAATGCGATAAAGATGCGCTTTATAGCTTATGGTTTTCCTACTTTATACCATTACGGCTTTTACATCAAGCTTAACTTTTACAGAGCCAACGAACTTTATATACGAAATTATATATGTACATTATACATTAGAATATTTTGTATTTTAACTATTTTTTATTTAACTTTTTGTTTTGTAAAAAATAAATTCACAAGAATATTTATCGATCTTTTTTATTCTGATTGAATTCCAATATTCAAACTATTTCCATTTAGTTTCCATAATAAGTATTTTATTTTTTAAACAGTTTACTTTTATTATTTTTATATTCGATTGATTGGTCTTATATAGGGGTGTCAATCGATCCGATCCGATCTGAATCCACACTCGACCCGAAGATTTCAGATTCGGGTTCGGGTCGACCCGATTTTTTTTGAGTCTATGTAGTTAATCCGAAATCTGGCCCTAAATATTCCGGACTCGGGTCGGGCAGAAGCGGGACGAGCCGGTCTACATAAATCCTTTTGTAAATATTATTTTTTTTCTTTTTTTAAAAAAATATTAGATTTTCGGGTCGATCTGACTCGAACCTGAAATCCGATTCGAACCCGACTCGAAAGCTCGATTTTTTTCGGATCGAAAAACTCATACCCGAAATCCGCTAATTTTCGGACTGAATCAGACCGAGCTTCGGATCTCAGAACCAAAATTGACGGCCCTAGTTTTATATCATAATCCTAAATATCCTCATAACTAAAAGATGCGAGTGGTGACGAGGCAACAGAGATGAAGGCTTTACGGGGAATCGAACAGCCAAATTGTACAGTGCAAAAGCAAACCCTAAAAAATAATGATATTCACATCTCAAAGACTCAAACTCAATATTAGTTCGCTTCATCAGTTTATGTACTCTAAAATCATTACTTGTTAACCATGGTTAGCTGCAATCTAACCATGATAATCTTCCATCAACTATGGTTAACAAATATAGTCCAATAACATAGGACTACCCGCTAAAAATAGATTCAACTATTTAGAATTCCATTATTCAATGCGAATCCACACCCGAATTAGAACGAAACCGTAAAACCCAATTATTTTGATGAAATTTTGTCAATGACATAAGTTGAATTAAATCGAACCCAACTATTCAACCCTTAAATGTTTTGAATATAGATATGATTAGTGTTGGTTATAACTTATAACTGAATTAACTGTTTGTTAATTAGGTTATAGTTATGTCACATTATGGAAAATGTAGGCCTAATATAAATTAACGGTCACACACCAATTTAGACGCCGCCGTTTGTGTGACTCCCCAAGACGACATCGTTTTGTTTTATGCTTCCAAAGGTTTCTCCTGATCTTTTTTCACGCGTCTTCTGATGTCGTTACCGTCTCCGTTACCGTTACGTTACCGTCTCCGACACATCTTTCCGGTTTCTTTATTTTTCCCTTTTAATTTAAAATAAAATCAAAGGCCTTTGCACATAATTGTAGAGTATTTCGACCTCGATCCCTCACCGATCTCTCCGATTCTCTCAAGAACAGAAAGAAAAACGAGACAGCGGAATAACGAGTTCAGTATCGAGCTCTAACACTCGATACCTACGTCTCGGGAAGAGGAACAGCGTTTGCTAGGGTTACACAAAGAGAGCTGCCGGAGATCGACCGGAAAATCGACCCCGAACACCGGAGAACACAAGTTCGCCGACCTAGAGAGAGAAACCACCAAAAAACCGAAAAACGCAGAAGTCTGAGACTCAAACAAACATTAGGGTTTCATTTACCCTAAAGAACCAAATGACCGAATTGCCCCTCCGCGTTTTGGAACCCTCTGACCGAACCCGAAGCTTTGAAACCTTCTTCTTCGCTCAGAGTATTTGCTGAAGACTCAACAAATCTCCACCTTCTTCTGCAAAACCTGCAAAGAAAAGAAAACACGAAGGAAAACAAACCACGCCAACCCTAGCAGGCTCATTCCCGTAACTTCCATGTAACTCCCCCTCTAAGCATGGTTCAAGGCGTATTGAACCTACCCTTCTAAAGGAGTCCTTACCGAGCGTGTCATAAACACGTCTCAGCGTGACACGACGCACCTAACCTACCCAAGCGAGTGTCCCCCGACATCTCCGCTTCCGAAGGCTACCTAAGACCTAGACTGGTATGACTCCCTAGACCGTCTAAGTGACCCCCTCCGGTGAAGTCTATACCTCACCAATGGCCCCTCGAGGGTCACGCCCCGACATCTACCCGTCCCCCGAGTCTACCCCGACTGCCCCGAGACTAACCTTGAGTCATACTAACACACCTAACTCTTGATCCCCGTAAAGATCAAGCGACCTATGACCTCTACCCCGGACCCCTACCTACCGACTAAGGTTCTCCACGGGTTTTACCCCGTGAAGACCCCCTAGTCGACCTATAGAAACTCTACCGAAGGCTCGGAACACGTGCAAGCACGTGCTCCACCTCGAGAGGAAACGCCCCTAGCGCTACTACCCTCACCGACTCTACCCGGTGACCCGGCATTCCCTCGCTCGCCTCTTCCCCTGAGCTTCCTACCCGAGGTAACTCCACCTAGACGTGGAGACCTCACCTCCGAACCTCCACCCGAGGAGTAGTCGGAGCATACTAGAAGTACCTCCGAATCATACTCCTGAACCGAGGCTACTACCCCCTTACCCTCGGTCTCCTCCTTCGCCCTCCGGGACCTACACTCCTTCTTATAATGTCCCTTCTTGCCGCAATACCAACACTCCACCTGGTCTTTGGCCTTCTTCTTCCCGCCACCCGATTTCTCGGGTTTGCCCTTGACCACTAATCCTTCCCCCGTACCCCGAGTGGTTTAGGTCAATCTAGGACCGGTTTAGGACAATAGAGTCCGGTTTAGGTCAATTTAGATTGGGATTGGGCCGGTTTAGGTCTGATTAGGGTCTGATTTGTCCAAATAGGGCTGGGTTTGTCCGGTTTAGGGTCTGTATCGATTAGAACAGGTCTAGATTGGTCGGTTTAGGGTCAGGATTGTCTGATTAGGACTTAGATTGGTCGGTTTTAGGTCTGATTGGTTCGATTGGGTTAGATAGAGTCCGATTCTTAGGGCATTCTGTCTGGTATAGGGTATTTAGGATCTGTATAGGTCGATCTATCCTAGGTAAAGGCAGATTAGATCTGCGGTAGACTTTGGTTACCTGTCTTCAGTCATAGAGTCCGGTAATTCTGTCCGGTTAGGCCTGAATAGGAGGATTTGGCTGAACTAGGTGAGTGAGAAGTCGGTATTAGGGTTAAAATCAATAGGTACAGGTCTGTTAGGGTTGATTTTAGGCGAGATTAGGTCTGATCAGATTTAATTAGGTCGGTTTAGACTTAGTTTAGATCTGATTAGGTTAATTCAAGTCTGATCAGGGGTAGGTAAGTCAATATTGGGTTGATTTAGGTCTGATTAGGACTTAGGGAGACAGAATAGACTCGGTTTTAGGGCTGATCTAGGTTGGTTAGGTCAGTGTTAGCCTTGGGGTAGGTCTGATTAGACGTAATCAGGTCCTAGGTAGGCAGGTTTAGAGTATATTAGGTCTGATAGGTTGAAAAATACCTAGGTTTTAGGTCCTCTTAGGATCGGTCTTGCTCCTTAGGTCTGGTTTAGGAGCTCCTAGGGTCGGGTTAGTCATTCCCAGCCCGACCCTAGGAGCTCCTAAACCAGACCTAAGGAGCAAGACCGATCCTAAGAGGACCTAAAACCTAGGTATTTTTCAACCTATCAGACCTAATAGACTCTAAACCTGCCTACCTAAGACCTGATTACGTCTAATCAGACCTACCCCAAGGCTAACACTGACCTAACCAACCTAGATCA